CTAGGACCCTAAGATCATGACCTGAGCTGAAGTCAGACACTCAACCAACTGAGCCATTCGTTCTTTTTTTTTTTTAAGATTTTATTTATTTATTTGAGACAGAGAGAATGAGAGAGAGAGAGCACATGAGAGGGGGGAGGGTCAGAGGGAGAAGCAGGCTCCCTGCCGAGCAGGGAGCCTGATGCGGGACTCAATCCAGGGACTCCAGGATCATGACCTGAGCCGAAAGCAGTCGCTTAACCAACTGAGCCACCCAGGCGCCCTTAAGATTTTATTTATTTGATAGAGAGCGCACAAGCAGGGCAAGCAGCAGAGGGAGAGGGAGAAGCAGGCCCCTCTGAGCAGGGAGCCTGACGTGGGGCTCAACCCCAGGACCCTGAGATCATGACCTGAGTCGAAGGCAGACGCTTAACCGACTGAGCCACCCAGGCGCCCCTGAGCTTTACCCCTCTTGGCGCTCACTTCCACCCACCGTGTTCGCTGCTGATGTTGCTGAGTTAGATTTGCATGGGACTGGTGCTGCCGGAGTGGCCCAATGGCAGGAGGAGAAGCCATCCCTCACATGGGAGTGACGGCAGCTCTCCTAACCGGCGGCTCACTGCCTGCTGGGCACCACCCGGCTCCTTCCCTGCTCCAACACTGAGTCCTCCCAGCACCCGGTCGGCAGCGGAGGAAACCAGGCCCCGGGGCAGGGCGCCTTGCCCACGAGCCCCAGCCCTGCGAACCGGTCCCACAGGCACCTTCGTCACTGTCGCTGCTGCACGAAGCGGAGGCAGGGAAATGCCAAAGCAGGGCATAATTGCCTGGGGAAGAAAGTGCAGCTAAGCCTGCAAAGGGAACCCGAGAAGTACAAAGCTTCAAGCTGAACAAAAGGCAAAAGCTGTCCTGGGCTAAGTCTTCCACCCCTTCCCTGCTCCCGAGAAGGCCTGAGCTACGGGGTTCCCACAGTGCCCCTGCAGGCGGTCCCGGGCCAGAGCCCCAGAGCACTGGACTGCTCTGTCCACTCCGAGTGGGAGATACCAGACCTGGACCTTCCAACACCACGGCCCTGACCACACCTTTGGTCTCTGTCCCCTGTCTGTCTCCTTGAAGGACCAGGGCTCCATCTGTCCCTCCTCATCAGGGTTCCTCCTCCACTACCCGGGCCCGGCCTGAAGTCGGGGTTCCTTCATGTCTGAACAGATGAGATGAGTCAAACCACAGTAACACACAGAGCCGTGGGGAGATTCCAGAACTCTGCCGATGGCTTCCGTCTCACTGTGTTGAGAGGGGCTGATTTCTTTAAGTCAGAGGATAAATGCCCTGAGCTGGGGTCCCTGCCCCTCCCACAGCCTACCCTGGACACAGATTAAATGAACACACCCGGTCAGCAATTTTGTGGACATAAATGCAGGACTGTGGGCTGGGCACAGCAGAGCAATAAGTGCTGGAGGAGAGAGATCTAAGATCAAGCGGGAAGGAGGGGGACAGCAGGAGAGGGCGGTGATGGGGGAGGCATGGGCCCTCTGAAAGCATTCCTCTGACCTGGCCTGGAACAGTCGGGAAGCACAGGGCCTGTGGCATTGAATTCTGCAGTCTCTGTGGGAGCTGCTTGCTTTCGGGTCCTTGCACGAGCGAGATGGCGGTCTCGAGGCCTCTTGGGGGCCCCTACGGCTGGCTAAAAGAGCAGCTAAAATGCAACTTAGAGAAATAACCAGGTCTGGCCCAAGAGAATGCCTGCTCCTCCCACCCAACTTAGAGGCCCTCTGTGGGCCAGGGTGGGGGCTAAGCTGCCAGGGCACTCTGACCGGGTGGTGGGTGGTCCGTGTGTCACCCGGCTGCTCACCAGGACTGCTTGCTTCTTGTCTTGAAGGGGACGAGCTGACCAAGATAGAGGACGAGGATGAACAGGGCTGGTGCAAGGGACGCTTGGACAACGGGCAGGTCGGCCTGTACCCAGCCAATTACGTCGAGGCGATCCAGTGACGGGCCAGCCAGCTGGCTGGCGGAGAGTGGAGGCGGGGGTCCCAGGAGCTCCGTTGGCCATCGGCCCTGGACAGCGGCAGCCCGGCGGCAGTCGGCTGTGTGAGTGTCCGCTCCTTTTCCTGCAAGACGTGCTGGCTCCGTTGCTCTTGGCTTCCTGGTGTCTCTCAGAGGCAGACGAGCTGGTCGTTTCATCTGGGACTCAGCACCTTTCCGCACGCCGTGCAGACGGAGAGGTCTGAGCGCCGGAAGACAGTACAACAGGACTCACCCCGTACCCCCATCCTGCTCACTCTGCTTGTCGGCTTATCATGGATCTGTCTGTTCTTGACCTTGTCTTTCCTCCTCTCCTCTGAAGCAATGGTGGGTTCCATTGATTCTTGTTCCGCTGATTACTTCCTCTGACGCGTCCCATCACCCGCAACTTAAATGAACAAACTTACATGCTATTTTCTGAGTGAAGACGTCGAGGTTTTTAATTTAAAGGCTGTGTACAGTTATACTTTTTTATATACCTGTTCTTCCATTCATTTATACTTAAATTATGGCACAGATTGATATACACCGGTCTTGAGGAAATCTCTCTTTCCGCGCTGGGCCTGGGGCAAGCCTTGAGAGCCGCAGTTCCCTGAGATAGGCGGTGCTTGAGGCCCGAGAGGGTGGTGGAAAGGTGGGGAACGCGTCCGGCTGGATTTCTGGTGTGAAGGCCCTGTGCATTTGGGGCATCTGCCATGAGTTCCGGAAATAACCTTAGGTAGTACTCCAGATGTCCCCGTATTTAAAAACTATTTTCATTCTATTTGTGTTTAAAACTTTATTCTTGCAAATTAACAATTTTATCAGTGATTTGAAAGGTTACAAAGTAAGAAGACTAACTTCTCAAGCACACGCATCTGTAGATTAAGATGCTTTCTATTAGACTGTCATGTCTTGGTGTATATCTGTATATATTATTTGATATTCAGAGAGTCTAAAGAGTTCGTCTACTGTTTTAGTGAGATTTAATGGCTTTTGACAGTGGGTTTAATTTGTAAACTGCTTGAAGACTGTGACATTCGGGCACAGGCCTGGCTGGTCGGCTGGGCCTCCTCTGGGCTCCGGGCACGAACCTGGGCCTCTCTGGAGTGGGGACAGCTGTTGGGACGCCTGTCCTCGCTGGACAGCTGTGGGTCCACCTCCCCACCAGCCTTAGTCCTTTCCGTAGCAGAACACTGTAAAACCTCCCGTGTCTTTCCAACAGCTGCAGATGCCAGCCCTCCCAGTCCCTCGCGAGCACACGAAAGCTGGGTCTCACCCCAGAGCACCGGGGTCTCTGAGCGGCCTTAGTCATCGGGAGCAGATGTGCTGGGGCAGGAACTACACTGTAATCACAGGGTGGGGGAGGGAGGGAAGGCGGGAAAACCTTTATTTTGTGTAACTCAGACACCAGTGAAATGGCCACCGCCATCACAAGCTATGCATTTTCTCAGTGTTTCCAGTGAGCTTGATGTCTTGCTTGGAAAGTGGATGTGCGTCTGTGTTCGTCATGAAAACTTACCAGCAGAAATCCTCATTCCTTTGCTACAGATTTACCAAAAATTGTCAAGTCTTTTCAGTTAGGAGTTTCTTTAAATGTATAGTATTTTAGAAAAAAAAAAATCAATAAACAGTTGATCTCATGAGTGTCGCTGTCCCCGAGCTGTGCGTCCCTCACGCTCATGTCCGCTGGTGGCCGTGTCTCCGGCAGCGTCTTCCATCTCTGGAGCTGGGCGAGATCCCGGGCGCCCACCGCTGCCCGAAGGGCCCTGCGCCCTGCCAGTCCGGAGGTTGGGGATGTGAGGCACCGGAGCCCCTCCAGAGGCCCCTCTCCCCGAAACCCGCTCCTCTGTGGCCCGGGCTGCCCCGGTGTAGACGCTGCCGCCTCCTTCCCCCGCCCCGAGACCCAAACAGCAGGACCCAGATGGGAGACCATCACCTGGGCTTCTTCGAACACATTCCCTGAGCGCCTGCTGTGCGCTGGGCCCTGTGCTCTGACAGTATCTGCAAATAGCGTGCCCATCTCGGGGGCGCCTGGGGGCTCAGTGGGTTGTCTGCCTTCGGCTCAGGTCATGATCCCCGCGAGTCTGCTTGTCCCTCTCCCTCTGCCCCTCCCCCCAGCTTGTGCACTCCCTCTCTCCCTCCCTCTCGCTCGCTCTCGCTCGAATAAAATCTTTTAAAACAAAAGCGTGCCCATTTCCAGACATCCCTGTGTGTCGGCCGAGTCTCCCTATTCCATTTTACAGAGAAGGACACGGAGGCTCCAAGAGCCATACTCCGCCCCGCCCCGCCCCGCCCCGCCAAGGAGTCCCTGCTGGTCTGTGGCACTAAAATCCCTGTGGGATCCTCCCGCCTCATTGGGGTGACCTGAGTTGAAAGAAGGCCAGGGCAAGGCGAGAGAGGAGAGATGTGAGGGCTGCCGCAGCCCGAAACGCCAAACCCCAGTGAGGCTCGTCCAGACAGGTGCCCCTCCTGGGCCGCGGGCCCTCGGGGGAGCCAGGAGGAGCGAGGCGGGCAGCTGCCACCGCAGCGCTGCTGTGCCCAGCTCAGGAATGGCGGAGAAGAACCTTGTCATCTGATGGGTGATGGGGCCCCTACTCTCCACTTAGGAGGAGTTGGAGCCCATCGGAGCTGCCCGCTGCCCAGGGCGGACACGGCCCAGGCTGGCACAGACACAAGGGAGGACGGCAGAGGGGCGGGTCCGCAGGCTCCTGGTTCGCACAGCCTGAGCTGGGCCAGCCAGTCCTGGGCACCTGGGGAGCTCATGTACTGTCATGACCCCTGTGGGGGAGGCTGGAGTCACCCCGCTTTGCAGAAGACGACACAGAAGGTCTGGAAACTCAAGTGCCACAACTTGCCCAAGGTCCCATGACAGAACTGCAGGATTCTTGAGGGCAAGCCCTTCCTCGCCCCCCTCCACTGGCAGATAAAGGGGGTGGGTGGGGGGAGGTGAGCAGGAGGAACCCTCCAAAGCCAGGAGGAAACCACCTCTGCTCAGCAGGGCCCCTTCCCCGCCCGTCATCTGAGAGCTCCTGCAGGAAGTCCCGAAGGGCCCTCGCTGCCCACCTGCCCTCTGGGGCGAGCTCCGGAATCCTAACTCACCCCTCAGCTTCCCCAGGCAAGAGCGGTGCCTGTCTTCCTGGTTGGAGGGCTAGAGGCGGGTGAGCAGGGCCCCAGGCACCCAGGGGGCCGTAACTGTTACCGTGGTGATAAGTGATAACCAGCTCCTCCTGGTCCCCAGCCAGAAGCTTCTGGCCTTCTTGGCTGCCCCTCCCACACCCTCCACGCTGGGCCACCAACTCCTCTTTGTCCCTCTGTCCTTCCCTTCCCCAGAGCCACTGCCTGGGGCCAAGCTGCTCTTTCCCCCCAATCACTGCTGTGTGGGCACCACCTTCCCGGGGCCTGGGGCCCTGGGCGGCCTGCCCAGTCCCTTCTCCGCAGCAGAGGGTAGGAGGGGGTATTTCTTCTTCCTGCCCGAGCCCCCAGGGCATGCCCAGAGGGCAAGCAAGCTCCAGTGAGTGACCCAGGCAGAGGTCTGGCTCTGCGGCAGCTTGAGCTAAAATACTAGGTTTTGTGAGTTCCCTGAGAGAGGACAGAGCAAGCCTCTGTCCTGGGCTTCACTGCAGGCCCTTCACCACCTAAGCTCGTGAAAGGCCTCTCCCTGTGCCTGGACAGGTGTTTGCTGGGTGACCGGCGGGTTTGGGCTCTGCCAAGGCCTCGGGTAGTAGCGGCAGACATAGAGGGGGCCACTTACAATCCATCAGAATGGGGATGGGGAGGTTGAGAAGGGCACCCGTGGGCCACTTGACCAACCCCCTCCTTGTTCATGGGGAAACAGGCCCAGTGAGGGGCAGGAGTGACTTGCCCGTGGTCAGAGTGAGTGGTTGGGGGAGCTGAGCATGGCCTGACCCTGAGTAGCCCTTCCTGGCAGGGCATCAGTTGGCTCTCTCCCTGGGTCATATTCATTCACGGTTAATTAATTAAGTAAGTAATTTACTTATTAAGATTCTATTTATTTAACAGAGAGAGATATAGTGAAAGAGAGAACGCAAGCGGGGGGAGTGGGAGAGGGAGAAGCAGGCTTCCCGCTGAGCAGGGAGCCCAACAAAGGGCTTGATTCCAGGACCCTGGGATCATGACCTGAGCCAAAGGCAGACGCTTAATGACTGAGCCACCCAGGCGTCCCTCACTGTGCATTTATTGAGCACCTACTATGTGCAAGACTAGGTGGTGACAGGAGAAAAACGAAGAAGGACCCAAGTTTGCCTTTGGGGAACTCCAGAAGGTCAGGGAGGGTCCAAGTCACTTGGACACCAGTGAGGAGGGGGCAGGATGGTCCCCTGAGAGTGTACCTGGTGGATTCTGGAGGCCCCCCTACAAGTCTTAGGAAATTAGGACAAACAGGGCCCCCAACCCAGCTCCAAGGCCCTTGGGGGCACAGTACTATGGGGTCCTTGAGCTGTTCCCCCCACTTCCGGTGGAAAGCATCCCTGGCTGGCAAGAGGTCAGAGTGGACTACAAACTGGCTGGGGAGGACCCCCACCCCTGTGTGACCCGAAGCCCAAGCAAGTGCCTGAGCCTCACTGCATAAAGTGGGGATGACCTTGGCGGTGTCCAGAAGCGGGACACCTTGCTGGGCAGGCGCCTTGCCCTCGGCATCCCTTCCCCCAGACACCTGCAGGAGGTGCATGCCCCCCTCCGGACTCTGTTTTCCCTTAGAAGGGCAGGCAGTGACTTCTGGGCTGGGCCTCTGTGGTCTCTGTGGTGGGAGCGAGCAGCAGGGCCCAGGCCCCAGCACCCAGTGGACACATGTGGGCCACCGTGGAGAGACCCGGGGCTGGGATAGAGGCGCTCTACTGCCCCAGGAAGGACAGACCCGGACCAAGCCGAATCTGGCAGGCCTCTCCTTGAGGTACAAGGTTATCCTACACCAGGTGGGGCCCCTGCGGAGCACAGAGTCAGAGGAACCAGGCTGACCCCAGCATTGTCAGGGGGTAGGCAGTTTCTCAGCCCGCGGTTTCCAAGCAGCCTTGGGCTTCACATTTATCAGCCGCATGCCAGGTCCAGTGCTGAGCTCCTTTCTCTGCAAAGAGTCATATAACCCTCCTCATTATGTATGGCACGCCATTTTGCAGATGAGGAAACAAATCAGAGAGGTGGAGTGACTTGTGCGAGGCCGTACAGCAAGTTGGGGGCAGAGCTGGGGTTTCAATTCCAGGGCCTAACTCCAAAAAGCAGGTGCTGTTGTACTCCTGGAGGTCTTGTTACAACCTACCTCGCTGGACCACCTTCTAGAGTTTCTGAATCACGAGGTTGGGGGTGAGGTCCAGAGTTTGCATATCTAACAAGTCCCAGGTGAGGCTGACCCACGGCCACACTTTGAGAACCGCTGGTCCAAATAGCAAGAACGGGCTGCCCAAAGTACCAGCAATTCCATGTGCTCCTTGTACTTGTTCATATAACCAGCAGATGCTCCTAACCCAGCTCTGGGGCACGGGAGCTGGGTCCTGGGGACCCCGAGACTGATCGCCCACAGTCTGGCCCAAGGAGGTAGGGAAAGTATGTCCAAAGAGAGCCCAGGGAGCAAGGGACACAAGCCAGCGTGACATCCCATCCCTGACTATTCCTATGATGCCCGTGCAAGGGGCAGGGAAGGTGAGGTGGGCCTGGTGGCAGAAGGAGAGGTGTCCCCCCGGGGGTCAGATGGGCACCAGTGTCACTGATGAGCTGCCCGTCCTCGGGTAAGCCCCTCCCTCTGCCTGGCGCTCCGTTTCCTCATCTGGAAAAGGGGAACGTGGTTCCTATCTTTTCTCTTTCACGATCGTATGCGGTCTAGAGTGTGAGCGTGCTTGATAACACACACAAATCTGGGGAGCGTGGTTATGGAGGTAGTCTAACCCCGAATGCCAGCCCCACGCAAGCCGACCTCAGAGGGAGACTCCCAAATCCTCCCCCAACCGGTCACCCAGCACGAGCGCCTCCCCCAAGCCATGTATTCATCCATGTATGAAACTGTACGCAGGGAGGCTGGCGTTTCCACACCAGGATCCGACGGAAGATGTTTTTCTTCTCTGAAACTCAACGACAGTCTTACAAAGGCGTAAAAATGAAGTCGATGGTTAAAAGCGTGGACTAGGAGGTAGTATTCCCTGCACTCAGACTGGACTTCCTGTGTGACCTGAATTAGCTGCGTGGGCCTGACTGAAATACTTAGGCTCGCCAAGACTTGGTTTGCTCATTGATAAAATGGGAACAAGAGCAGTTAACATTTGTATTTCAGTCTGTGCCAGATCCTGTTCTAAACCCTTCAACGTTTATTAACTTTCTGGATTCTCACAGCGGCCCCATGAACTAGGTACATGTTATCATTCCTAGTTTTACAGGCAAAGAGCTTGAGGCACAGAGAGGTTAGGTGACGTGCCCAAGATCCAACAGCCGCCACACGGCCGAGCGAGCGTTCAGACGCGGGTGGTGCAGTACAGGCTCTGCCCACTAGGCTGCGCTGTTGGACTGCGAGGGCGAGGATGCGCCGCTCCCCCCGCCCCTCCGCCGCGGCCCCCCAGCGGCGCTTGTTCCGTGACGCCTACCAGGACTAGAGGTCCCCACTAGGGAGCCGCCGGTCCTGAAAGACCCTCCTCGGGGCTCT